ACTCGAGTTTAGTGGCAAAACACTGGCTGCTTTTGATGGAATGAGGGCTTCCCTGGCTGATGCAACCTCACAGACACATTTCATTCTTGCGTCGCTGATGTAGGTGCTTTGTAGAAGTCGCTGCCGTTCTCTCCGCTATCCCACCCTGACAAGTATAGTCCGAGGGATATTACACATCTGGACTACGCCTCACACTCCATCATTGATATTCACCACGTCGGTGGCACGAAGAATAGGCTGGCTGACACGCTGTCAAGACCTTCCCTCTCCCGCTCTCCAGCCCTTTCACGGAATCGAAATTACTGTCATCGCGGCCGGGCAACGGCGAGTCGGCTGTTCTGGTGATGATTCAGTAAGTGGCCTCCACCTCACGGATGTTCATTTAACCACCACCCGCTTTCACAGTCCCATCATGCCCACCTCGACACGTCGAGCTGTTTTTAAACCCTTCATGTACTCTCCCACCCTTGGATCCGAGCCTTCCAAACTCTCCTTGCGGAAAGGTTCGTCTGCGACCGTCTCTGATGATGGGTTCCGGTGAGAATCTGAAACGTCAGGCCAATAAATTTCTTGTTTCAGAAGTCTCATCTTCGTATTTTGAAGGAAGTCAAAGCTTAAGTACGGTCACGTCTGAACTGCCAGCCGATCAAGATGTAGCTCCACAAAGAGTTTCCGTCAGACACCTTTCCCGGTCTCGACGCATGATTCAGATGTGTTCTTCTGGATGCTGTAGGCCCATTAACACCATCCAGTGGCTACATTTACGGCCCTGCCTGTGACGACCGACACATGCGTTAGGTTAAAGCCATCCTCCAATCGAATTAGGAGGCCGACATCGGTCGCGGGGTCGCCATTTTCGGCGTCTCGTTCGGACTGATCAAGGTGCCAAGTTCGAATCTGCCTTCCTCCAAATCCTCCGCACATTTCTGGCTGCATGCGCAGTCGGATGACAGCCTACCACCCAGCAGCCAACGGCGTGGTTGGTCGCTCGCATCACCAACTAAAGGCTGCTCTGAGTACAGCGGAGGAGCCGGTAAACGGGTGTAACAACCGGCCCCTTGCACTTGTTGACATTTGCGTGACGTTGAAGTCAGGGGCAGCCAAAATGGTGTTCAGCATCACTTTCTGATTGTCATACAGGATGATTGCACCAACTTTTCGTGGTGCCGACGAGAGTTCTGACAACTTGTTGCATCGTCAGCAGCAATTTATGCCTTCGCGGTCCCTGGTTCGACTGGGTTAATGTCGAAAAAGGCCTGGCCAACTGCACTCATGTGTTCGATCAGTATGACCATGTGCGCAAGCCGCCGAAATAGCCATGCAAGAGACCGTTCCGGATATTCTCACGCATTACTAAAACCTGCCGGATCCATCGCGGTAGCAGTGAGGACGTGGTCAGCGTCGATTGAATGAGGGCTGCTGTCCCAGGCAAACTTCCGAGCCTCCCTCAAGGACAAAAATGTGCTGACTCCCTACCCCATGCTCTTCAACCTCCCTAACCTTAGTTCGCACAGTGTCACTGACGGTTGCGTCACTCATAGCTGTCGTGACGTCCACCTTCCCAACCGCCCTATCATCCACATGTCTTCGACATTGCACTTACCTTCGGCGTCGCTTTGGCGCCAGCCTTCGGCCTAGGCGGGGGTACTGTAGCTGCCCGCTCCCACGATCGTCAGCTCGGTCGCTTACCCACGTCGTTTTATGCCCTCTTGTCACGCCTGTCAAGCACTGTGTATTCTCACGTGACCCAACCTTCGCCTCACCGATGCCGTGACGCCGGCTGATATTTGTCTCCATCGGTTGGTCGCGGGTGCATAATACAGCGCTCGGGCGAACATAATGAAGGGCTGACAGGGCTGGCGACGACATTTGCCGAGTGAGGACGCTGGTTACCTATTGCTTGCTGAGTTCCCTGTACGTTCTCTACATCACTAAAGGATTGTACATCTAACTGCCTTCCCTGTCTTCGGGTTTGGAAACTTCGAGTTGCCGGCCGTCGTACTTCGACGCTACCTCAAAAAAGAAGCAGGAATGGACATAACATCGATCAGTTGGTCTCCCATGGCAATCAGGCTCCGAATTGATGGCAGAGATAACGAACGCACAATCACTTGTCAAGTTGGACTCGACCAAGCCACAAAAGCAGACGCGGCCACGGGTTTATTCCGTTTTCATCT